ATCTGAGGCCGGACGGCGAATCTCTGGTAGAGTTAGCACTTTCACATCAATCGTTTTCTTCTTTTTAATTATTCTCTTGAGATAATGATAATACTGAAAGCATATGTCAAGTTTTTATCAGAGCTCTTAATATGAACTGCCATACTGCTTTCCAAATAAGCTGTACCAATGTCAGTAGAAACATCAGTGATTATTCTTTTTACCACATTTTCAAAACATCTAAGAGGTATAAAATGGTACTTCATTATAGATACACTTATATTTGTTTATACAAAACAAAAATTTATCCATTGGGCTGGGATTTTTATAAACTTAAATCAATTTTATATATTACAGATCTCAAATTCTCTCTGTCAATCATTATAACTATTTAAATATCTTTAAGGTGCTAACTTTCTCTGTAATAACTCAATGTTTCAGAAATTACTACCAAAGTTTTACGAATGAGTATAAAGACCAGTTCTATTACTTTTTAAAGGGCTAATACTCTAATATGATTTTTCTTATCTTACTGAAAGTCTCGCATGTTGGGCTGCAGTCTGCATGATTGGCAGTTCGAAACCACCAGCAGCTTCATGGAGAAAGCCTGGACTTTCTACTCCCCTGAGTACTTATAGTCTCTGAAACCCACAGGGGGTATCTGAGAGTCAGCACAGACTCAATGGCAGTGAGTTTGGTTTACTTCACTGAAAATGTCAGTGAATAACGTTTTATACTCATTTAATGTACTAATTTTTAAAATATATCTTAAGTAGTAAGCATATTTACAATGTTCAAAAATGGCAATACAGGAGTGACATCAACAAGATGGCAGAACAGGCAGTTCCAACTCTCACCCTTCACACAAACAATGAAAAACAAATAACAATTGTCATAGCCAACTTAAATCAGAACTCTGAGAAATTGTCCAAGGTTTACAGCATGGAAGCAAGCACTTTAAATAAAGAAGGTAACTTAAATATTAATTTTTCTTTAAATGTTTAGCCAAATTCTCCAGTGCAAACATCTGCCTAAATTTTTGTTAGTTGGTTTTTGATTACTGATTCAATCACTTCCTATAGCTTGAGATTTTGTATCTTCTTGAATCAACTTCGGTAATTTATGTATTTCCATGAATATGTTCATTTCATCTAGATATCTAATTGATTAGCATTTAATATAGTATTCTCATAATATTAATAAACAATATAATGTTGATAATAGAACCTTCACTTTTCCAATTGTAACAGCTGCTTCTATTTTTCTTTGTCAGTCTACTTAACAGGTTTGTTAGTTTTATTAATGTTTAAAAAAAAATTTGGTTTGATTATTGCATTGATCTCATTGGTACTCCATTGTTTTCTATTCTCTATTTCATCTCTGATCTTAAGGATGTCCTTCCTTTTGCTAGAGTTGGATTTAGTTGACTCTTCCTTTTTCTAATTCCCAAAGATGTGAAATTCGGTGATTCAGTTGAGGTCTTTCTGCCTTTCTAACATAAATTGTACAGCTGTAAATCCCTCTAAGCACACATCGACTGCCAGGAAGTCAGTTTTGACACATAGCTGCCCTGTAAGACGGAGGAGAATTGCTCCATATATTTTCAAACATTGTAAATATTTGCAAAAGCAAGCTACATCTTTCTACCTTGAAGTGGCTAGTGAATTTGAACCACCAACCTTCCAGGTAGCAGCCCAACACTCAGCCTACTACATCACCAGAGCTCCTAGAAATTGAAAAGCAAACCTGCAAACCTATATGGAATTAAGAGAGGCCAAAATGCCAAACAACCTAAAAGGAACAAAGTAGGAGGACTATTATTTCCTAATTTCGAAACTTACAACCAAACTCACTGCCACTGAGGCGATGCCCACTTATAGCGACCCTATACGACAGGGTAGAATGTCCTGTGAGTTTCCGAGACTGCCACTCTTTATGAGAGTAGAAAGCCACAGCTTTCTCCCAAATTTACCACAGGCTACGATACTTAAAGGAGATGGAATACAACTGAGAGTTCAAGCATAAACCCATATGTCTATAGCCAACTGACATGATGCTAAGTCTCATCAACGAAGTCTTCCACAAATAGTGATGAGACCACTGGCTCTCCACCTGCAAAAGAATGAAGTCAGTGCCTCACACTACATAAAAAATTAATTCAAAATGG